TATCTCTGCTAGTTAAGAAGCTATAAGCCAAAACGTAAAAAAGCATACCCTACCCATCCGCCAGCCTACTAGGGTGCTTTAAGAGACCTGGTATATTGCTGCAGCGCGTCGCACGCTTAGTGTCGCGTCTTGCTAGATAGCCTGGAGGGCAAGCTGTATATGTGTTTTATTTAAAGGCTTTTTTACGTTGTTGCGTTGAGGCATTACAGGGAGAGTGAAGTTCGGTGTGGTCTTGGCAAAAGTGGCCAGCTCGCTTGGGTGGCCAGCTCGCTTGTGGAGTAACCTAAACTATCACCGAGTGTCCCACATCACCGAGTGTCCCAAAATCTCTTGGCAGCCTCAACCTATGCTACAACTCCTCAATTTCATTGCTATTAAACAGGGAGCCTGTGTACATTATACTAGCATCTAATTCTAAGGACACCTCTGTATCCTTTTTGCATGTTCGCGCATTATGCCTAGTCCTACCACAGTTCCTACAGCGCTAAAGAGCTAGTTAGGCTAGTTCTTGACCACTACTACCACAAGCCTTCTTAGATTGCTAAGGCGCTATAGATGCCTTAGCAGCTACCTGCGCTGCAGCAGTCCTATACTCCATAGTACTACCCTGCTGAATCTGCTTGCGCTTACGCGATTTTCGCTTAGTCATCTCTGCTAATTGCTCTTCAAGCTCATAGATCTGAGCACGTTGAAGCGCATTTTTATATAGCATTAGCTCACCACCTTTTATAAGCTAGGAGAAACTAGCCTAAGCTATAACAGGTGAGCAAGTAAAGGAATTGCATACAAGCTTTAATTAAGATCTAAACTTATAGGTATTACTTAGAGTCTTTAACTGCTATAGCGTCTCTAGGAGGAGGGGTTCTAGCAGGGTACGCAGCTGCACTTTAAGGCAATCTAATACAACCTGCGTGTTAATTAGGACTAGCCCTGCTGCCTTAAAAGCCTTTTAACAGTTCTGCTCTATAAATATATTAAAAAACGCGTCCTTAAAGGCAGGGAGGAAGCCTTCTTTGTTAATATAGAAGACGCGTCAGCGTGCCAAGTCTCTAACGCGCTAGGAGTACCTGCGCTTTAGTGGCAAGAAGCAGACCACATCAAGCAGCTAGAGGATGTGCGATAAATGGGGGGGCATACAGAGGGTTAGGATCTTGTGTTTAAGGCAGTAGTCCTTAAAATGCTAGTTAAGGTGGCTCTTATAGCTGTCTAAAATAAGCAGCTAGTGCCCCCCCCACTAGGCTGGCGGATGGGTAGGGTATGCTTTTTTACGTTTTGGCTTATAGCTTCTTAACTAGCAGAGATACGCTTACATAATCTATTATTTAATAGAAGCGCCTAGTATTGCGCCTTCTAATAAAAAAAGAATTAGCTTATTCTACCTAGTATTAGCTAAGTTATTAACACTACCTAGCAAAGTATACCTATTAATAGGTATGCTTGCTAGGTACCCCCCCTTTTTTGACGTTTTCTA